GTCTTTGGACTTATCAACTATCATCCGCCATGAGATTGATTATTATATGACTCATCCTTCTTCTCCTGAATATGCCGAATCTGTTTGGGTCAAAGAGGATTTTGACTGCCTTTTTCCTCCAACTGATTTTGCCGTGTCTTCCAATGCTCCTACTACAGAATCAGCTAGGCCTAATACAGTTTTCTAGACATGATTTCTCAGGTATGTTCTATTTTATCCATTTCTCCAAATTCGTATGATTCCCATCCTTCTTTCTTATGTGATACTTTCTTATTTCAGTATTTGGTTTTTCCCTCTTCTCCAGATATTAGGGTTAATGCTGAGTGTTTTGTTTCTCAGATGGTTGAGGGTGCAAGCATGGTTTGCACTCCATAGGCTTCGGATCAGTTTTCCTTGGCTTACATTTAGGCTGAATATCCATTTATCGATTCCCAACGGTTAGAATCAATTTTACTCATATGGGAAACGACCTGATCATCCTGTTCATTTATCCCACCTTTGTCTTAATACTCTCCTACAGTACTTCTCTACCATCCATCTCCTTTCCAAGGTGATCCACCGAAATCCTGAGTGTTTTTCAGGGTATTACCTCCATGTTGGCACATTTGTGTTCTTTGGCTCTAGCCTTACACATATAGTTTCTCTGTTGTTGGGATCTCCTGAGGAGGAAAGCAGCCTTGTCCCAAGTTCATTTACTGCCTACTAATCTCCAGGACTTATTTCTGGCCTCTCTTCTACAACGGTATGTTTTAAGTAATATTCCTGAGACTTTGGAATCCTGTGTGGAGTTGGTGTAACAACAAGCTACCCTTTCTTCTTTGGTAAATTGTTTGTTTCATTTTGAGCCTAGACATGCCCCTATTGCTGTTTCCCATCCATCTCTTTCCCAGCCCTTACCTGTTCCTACCTCCAGGAGTTCCCCATCTCCTCATTTTATTCAATGCAGGTGGACACTTTGCCAACAGTACTGGGGAGTACCTGATGGGTTCCAATGCAGAGTGGGCTCACGTGACCGACTTTGTTCTCCATTGGTGACTTTTTGCCACAGATCTGTGGGTTGTTTGGGTATTATCCGAGGGATTTTTTTGGACTTCATCCATTTTCTTTCCCCTCCTACGTTATCTCAGATACCCATTTCCTTTCCATTGCCTTGGGATCCTACCACCAGTCAACATCTGTCTGAGGCAGTACAAGATCTTTTTTTCCCAGCAGGCCATCGAACCTGTCAATCATCCTTCTCCAGGTTTTTATTCCAGGCTGTTTGTGGTGCCCAAGAAAATTGGGAACTGGCAGCCTGTGATAAATTTTTCTGCCTTAATCAGTTTTTGGTTCTATCCCGATTTACCATGGAGTCTTTTCTCACCTTCAGGAGGGCTTTTTCTTTGGATTTTCATATGATCAAGGTAGATAACACGAATGCCTACCCACATATTCCAATATCTAATCAGTCGAAGCACTATTTTTGGTTTGTACATCATAGGGTAGTTTATCAATTTCATGTCCTGTCTGTTTTGTCTTCCCCTGACATTTGCATCATTACATGGACAATTGGCTTCTGTTAGCTCATTCTAAACAGGAATCTGCTTATCACATTCATCTGCTGCTCCTGGAGGCAGCTTGTGTGGGTTGGTTAATCAAATTGGAGAAGTTATTCCTTATACCTACCCAATATGTTGTCCATTTGGGTGTCTTTTTCAACACTCATCTCAGTCAGGCCCGACCTTCTTCTCTTCGACTTCATTCCATGAAGCTTTCAGTTCTCCATGCTCTTACTGCTCCCTCTCTTACAACTCATGAGGTTCTATTGCTTTTGGGGATGTGGTCTTCCAGAAGCCCTTATCCCCTTGGGTCGAGTGCATATGAAGTCTCTTCAGTAACCAATAAAATCTTGCATGGGATCCATTGGAGGCAATCTGCATTGATGGTTGGACGAGGCTCACATGTCAGCAGGTGTTCAGCTCCCTCCCCCCCCTGTCCAGATTTACATATCTTCACAGATGGTTTCCTTCAAGGCTAGGGGGCGTGGGTTGATAAGCAAGAAGCTTCAGGTCAGTGGTCTCTGGCTGAAAGATCTTACCATATGAACATCCAGGAACTGATAGCTGTACGTTGTGCCTTAGATCATTTTCTTCATCTTACCAGAAATCATCTGGTCATGATCCATTCCGACAATTTTACAATTGCCAAAGCAGTACCTGTTCTTGTTCCTATTGTGGTTGGACCTTGGATTTCTTATTTTGGGCCCATACACTCAATATTCAAATCAATGCATGTGATATATCGGGTGCATTCAATCTTGTTGTGGATTGTCTTTCATGTCCTGATATAGTTTATCCAACTGAGTGATTTCTCAATCCTCTTTTTTCCAGTGGCTCTGCCTTCAGTAGGATACTCCTCACCTCGATGCATTTGCCACATCCCTCAATACCAAATTACCTCAGTTTTGGTGTCTTGTTCCTCATCCTCTTGCTCAGGCTGTCAATGCATTCAGTCAAGATTGGACCAACAAATAATTGTATGTCTATCCTCCCATCTGTCTTCTTCACAGGGTGATCTTGATCATCCACTCTGTATCCAGTCCTTCTGATTGCTCCATACTGGCTGGTACAGCTGTGGTTCCTGCAGCTGCTCCAGCTCCAATGTGCCCCTCTGTTACCTCTTTCTCTTACTCCATATCCATGCCTGGTTTTTATCTGGTCCTCGATGGGGAGAATCGGTTTGTCCCAGCAGGTAGGCCCTTTAGGGAGGTTTATCAACATAAGTGGAAAGTTT